AATATAATGTCATCTAGGATCAATATATCACACAATATAGTCAATATAATGTCATCCAGGGTCAATATATCAAAACATGGAGACAATATAATGTCATCTAGGGTCAATATATCAAGACATGGGAACAATATAATGTCATTTAGGATCAATATATCAAACAATATAGTCAATATAATGTTATCCAGGGTCAATATATCAAGACATGGAGACAATATAATGTCATCTAGGGTCAATATATCAAGACATGGAGACAATATGTCATCTAGGATCAATATATCAAACAATATAGTCAATATAATGTCATCTAAGGTCAATATATCAAGACATGGAGTCAATATAATGTCATCCAGGGGCAATATAGCAAGACATGGAGACAATATAATGTCATCTAGGATCAATATATCAAACAATAGAGTCAATATAATGTCATCTAGAATCAATATATCAAGACATGGAGACAATGTAATGTCATCTAGGGTCAATATATCAAGACATGGGGACAATATAATGTCATCTAGAATCAATATATCAAGACATGGAGACAATGTAATGTCATCTAGGGTCAATATATCAAGACATGGAGACAATATAATGTCATCTAGGATAAATATATCAAGACATGAAGACAATATAATGTCATCTAGAGTCAATTTATCAAGGCAGAGTCAATATAATGTCAATACAATATAAGCTGTGCATTATCAGCCAGTATACCATTGATTGCATATGCAAATTTTGTGTTTGGACCAATCAAATCAATGGATTAACACTATCAATATACTGGTATAATATAATACAACTTATAGAGTAATATATCAATGCAGGTGTAAAACCATTTTGGATCAATATAATATAATGTAATCTAGGGTCAATATAACAAAACGTGGAGATAATATAAAGTAATCTAGGATCAATATATCAAGACATGGAGACAATATAATGTCATCTAGGGTCAATGTATCAAGACGAAGTCAATATAATGTCATCTAGGATAATTATATCAAACAATAGAGTCAATATAATGTCATCTAGGGTCAATATTTCAAGACATGGAGACAATATAATGTCATCTAGGGTCAATATATCAAGACATGGAGACAATATAATGTCATCAAGGATCAATATATCAAGACATGAAGACAATATAATGGCATCTAGGATCAATATATCAAGACAGAGACAATATAATGTCATCTAGGGTCAATATATCAAGACATGGAGACAATATAATGTCATCTAGGGTCAATGTATCAAAACAAAGTCAATATAATGTCATCTAGGATCAATATATCAAACAATAGAGTCAATATAATGTCATCTAGGGTCAATATTTCAAGACATGGAGACAATATAATGTCATCTAGGGTCAATATATCAAGACAGAGTCAATATAATGTCACCTAGGATTAATATATCAAGACATGGAGACAATATAATGTCATCTAGGATCAATATATCAAACAATAGAGTTAATATAATGTCATCTAGGGTCAATTGATCAAGACATGGAGACAATATAATGTCATCTAGAATCAATATATCAAGACATGGAGACAATATAATGTCATCTAGGGTCAATTGATCAAGACGTGGAGACAATATAATGTCATCTACAATGTAGAATCAATATATCAAGACATGGAGTCAATATAATGTCATCTAGGGTCAATATTTCAAGACATGGAGACAATATAATGTCATCTAGGGTCAATATTTCAAGACATGGAGTCAATATAATGTCATCTAGAAATCAATATATCAAGACATGGAGTCAATATAATGTCATCTAGGGTCAATTGATCAAGACATGGAGACAATATAATGTCATCTAGAATCAATATATCAAGACATGGAGACAATATAATGTCATCCAGGGTCAATATATCAGTGGAAAATATATAACAATACAAGTACAATACATCATTATGCAAAGACATTATAGGCCTGAATAAGTTATAAATCCCCAACAAATATAAAAACTCACCACTGAATAACTACCATACTGAGATGCAAGATGTAAAGGTGTCTCTCCATCATTTGATGAATCATTAGAACTTGAACCTGCACGTAGTAATAAATAAACTGCATCTAATTTGCCCTGCCAGGCAGCATAGTGTAATGGTCTCATCCCTGTGAAAAAATAAATGCAAAATGGTAGTGTTAACAATTTTGTTCCCCACCAAATTAAAGAGAGCCCTACCCATGGCAGTGAATCATAAAAACAAAAGTGTTCAACAACCATGTATGAGGGTGCCCTTCAGTATCTCATGGAACCAATGAAAAAACAAGAATATATTTGCAAAGGAATTCTATTTAGTAAACACTTGATAATAAAAATGATCTATGGTACATACAATTTTCAATAATAAATTCATAATGCAACACAATAACAACAATACTGGAGGAAATTCAATCTCTAAATAGTTGCATGACAGTCAAGGGATATGGTAAAACCCAAAAAGATGGTAACGCAGTAATGTAGGCAGGTTTACAAAATACAGAGCTGACAACACTGAAACATATTCAACTAAAAACCAGCAGGAGAACTGTATGAAAGTAAAAGGTCAACACTCAAACAGGATGTCATGGAAAGAGCAAGATCATAAAGATGCTACATCGCAATTCGGAATAGTCAATGAAATGTGCAGTAGCTGACCTACCAAAGCCGCTGGATACATTTGTTAAAAGGATATTTTTAAGTATGTGTTTTTTCTAAGTACCTAGTCTGTAAACTTTAATCCAAAACTAGACAGACTAACTGAATCACGAATCTAAATCTAACAACAAACTGTAACATGAAAATATGAAAATGAAAGCAATTTTTATTTAATTACTGTTAACTGCTTTGCTTTCTTAATTCATATCACAATGAGTCCCACGTTTGTGAATACCTGTATTCAAGACCTACCCGGTACATGTACATTTGAAGTTTATAATATAAATGATTTTTTTTTTTTTTTTTGATGATAGTTTGGAAAAAGTAAAGTTTGATAAAAAATGTCAAATGAAGATGGGTCTCATCACGAAAACCTAATTTCATTTAATGCCAAGGCAGTCATTAAATTCTTAGTGATTAGCTGTATATTCTCTGAAAATCAACTGTAATTAGCTCTGATCAAAACTGGGATGTAAGTATAGGGTATATTCAAGAATCTCTTCCACTGCATAAATGCTGAGAAGACCTTCATTTTTACTATCGGCTATACAGTGTCACTTCCCATTAAAACGTTTCTTGTCACTCCATTATCTGTATTCACCTTAGATAACGGCAGTGTAACAATACAAATCGTTAAAGTGTCACCGATTGATTGACAAACAGTTTTCAGTGTTTTGGAAGTCAACACATCCCAAGGCAACGTCAATAAAAGCACAAGTATACATCTTAGATCATAATTAGGTCAAGTCTCACATTTTGCCCAAGTTATTCTTAATAGAAAGTCAAAGTTTCTTTGGTATAGAGATTTTTTAGTGGGCACCAGCTTTAAGGTCAAGTTCAACTGTTTGCACTTCAAGGAGTATAAAAGCACAACAAACTATGTGTATTTAACTTACACTTTTCCCACCACAGGAAATTCACAACAATACAACTGGGTGATAAAAGTCAGGTGCATATAAAATTGGATATTGTCAATAACATGAATAACATTTCAAGGACTTTGACATGCAAAGAAATGGTTGTATACCATGTGATATTGCCTACTCACATTTGTTATCAAAACTTTAAACCTGCCAGTCCTTCAAAAGCCTTTTAAATTACATGTTGTCAATCACCATTGTTTTTATTGTTTACACACTTAATCTGTTTATTGTTCTATTTGTAATCCAGTCAGTATATTAGGCATATATGAATTGCATGTGATTGACCTTATGTGTAGAAGCCAATGACCTTTCCAGCAAGCATCATGTTACCGTGGCATCAAATCTAAGTTGTCTCTTACCAAATTACCACATTACCTTCAGAACAATCATTAGTTTTGTATATTTACATAAAAACAAAAAAGACAGAGTGTGTGCAGACAAAACTGTGCTTAATTATAATATTTGAAAAAAAAAACAACACTCAGTGGTTACAGATGACAAAATTAGCAAAAGACCCATAATATTTTAGGATCACACATTAGCTGAACCAGCTTTGCAGACCTAAATATTTCAACCACATTCACTTGCCTATGTTTCAATAAATATTTCTTAATAACAGTAATCTAAATATAGCAAAGACGTGCAGCTGACTGTAGACTGTGCAAGCTGTGAACCAAATACAAGTACATACACAATAATTGGAGAGTACCAAGCACAGTATGGATTTCCTAAAAGTCACACAGTTTAATAGTTTTAAAAGTTCACAACATTTTGGACCAACTGAACATAATTTCCAATTGCTTACCATTTTTTGGGGGGAAAAGTATTGGAAAAATTATGTGAATTTATTTCGTGAACAAGTCATTGTCAATGACACGTCCCTGTTCCGTTCATATTTGAGTGACATATACATTCAAAGCAGATCATGACCGAAATGCACCTGCATATGTACAACACATTGTGCTAAATCTGAACAAAATCCATCCATGCATGACTGAGATCCGGTTCTGGAATTGCGAAAATACGTGATTTTGATGCATTTTCGGCCTTAAAATGGCCATCATTCCACTATTGTTAAACCGCGGGTCTGGGTGTATAAAAGGAAAGATGGCCGCCACTTTTCAGTATGCAAATGACACTCAAGCGTGAAACATCTCTTTGGGGTGCTCTGCAAAATCACTCTTTTCGGCAATCTTAACGCCTGTGGTGCTTTATTTTCATGTTGTACACAAACATGAATATGTCCGCGATACAACTGCGATGTTAATTTACGAGTTTGGTGCGATGTCAGTGCGATTTCCGCGTAAAAGCGACGGAAAAGCATGATTCAAACAGTCGTTTTGACTGCTCAAACTGGCTGTCAGTCATGGGTTTATGCAAATGTAAGGTGTTAATCCCGAGTTATTTGTTCAATCTCTAGGTATGTTTATGTAATTACGGAGTTGATCATGTAAGTG